TAAAGAGGTTAATAAATCTTCTCCACGTGCAGAGCGACGCGTGCTCTCCGTACCTGCAGGAGTAGCTGAGGTTCCTCCTGATGCTCCTCTTGAAGAAGCTCTTGCAGCCCTCGCAGGTGAACACGCCATAGTGCTTCCCGCTGGACTTGTCCCCGCACACCACGCAGTCCACCACGCAGGCCTTGTCGTCGTCGCCGACGTCCACGTCGCTGCTCCCGGCCCGGGGCGACCCCTCCTCGTCCTCCCCCCTCCTCAGGTAAGCCTTTTCCCCGAGTCCGTTAGCGCCCCCGTTGGGATTACCCCATCCTCCGCTCACCATGGCCATGTTCTCTGAGACGTGCAGCCCTGCGAGTGGATCATACACAGACCTGCTCCGTCCCACCGCCTTCCAACGGGCTCGCAGAGTCTAAAGCGCCGATTCCGCCCCCGACGGCAGCAATCCGAGGAGATTCAAAGTCACGGGGGGAAATTCCGCCTCTTGACCTTCTCGTCTTTGCCTCGAGCTGACCTGTGGGTCTTTCCACGTTGTGTCCTCCCTCTCTTCTTTAATCCCCGGCTCTCTGTCCTGACCTCTGATCACGCTGGCTTCCCGAGGTCCGACAAAACTTCAGACGCGCACACACGAACACGGCGTGCGGTTCAGAGTTCAGGCAGCGAAAAGGGTGCAGCCTCGCTCTTTTCACAGGAAACAATAAATTACACTTTGACTCCCTCCCTCTCACTTTCTTTCTCCGTCTTCCCCCTTTGAAAGAAAAACTCTCACCTATCCCTAAGCATAGTATGTCTGTGTGTGGGTGTTCAGCGCACGACTTTCTCTGGGAAGGACGAGCAGGCGGGAGGAGAGTCGCACACAGCCCTCCTTCATGCAGGGTTAAACTGCCCTGCCCTCTGCTCTGACTTATAAACTCGTCCAACCAGTTCCTGTCGCGCTGAGGTTTTTATCTGTTCATCAGCTCCAGCCTAGACTCACTCTTGACTTGTCGAGGCTGATAGTGATGGAGAGGAGAAAACGATTTGCCCCGAAAAATAAGCCGAGGAGTTTGGGAAACTCTGACGAATTGACTGCCTGTTAATCTAAAAGTATATTTAAGGCTACCTGCACTCGAGTCCAGGCTTGATGTGAAAATAAGTAAAGAATTAGTTATTTTTACTCTCAGGAGCAGCAAAGTTCACCTCCTGTTTCTGTCGTCCGGGTGAAGTAGAGTTTCTCTCGTGATCTCTTTCAACTGGAAAGTCAGCGGGGGATCAGATGTCACAGAAGGAAAAAAAAGCAACAACAAGCTGAAACAAAAGCAGAGTTGAGAAATCTCTTCAGTCGCAGCTGCGTCTCCTCTCACAGCTTTACAAAGTGCTGCCTCTCTCGTCCTCCTCTTGTTTTGTCAGTACTTGTCCATCCAGCAGTAACAACCAGAGGCCAGAACTTCTCGCTGCATTCCCTGTCGGCGAGTCACGGTGTACTGTTGCACTCTTTGCTACGCCGCCTGTCCTTTTCCCCCCCTTTCTGCCTTTCCTTCTCTCTGCTGGCCCCAGCAGGAATAAATTAGGCAAACAACAGGCGCAGGAAAAAACACGGTCAGCAAAAGCCCGACGCCGCTGCTGCTGCGGCGGTGGAGAGCAGCCCGGAGATGGCCTCGTCTCTCTCTGAATCCCCGCTCTGTGTCTCTGCCTCCCTCCTTCAGGGAGAGTGAGCGTGTGTCTGTGTGCTGAGGGATTTGACACTGCTATTCAAGCCCTGCTGTTGCCATGGCGCTGCTCGCCTTATAAGGGCAGCGGAGTCAAAGAGCACCGAGTGGGCTGCAGCCACACACAAACACATGTACACAGAAAGAATGCCTGACTGGCTGCCGGTTTCTGCCCTGACCCCAGGCCCGCCTGGGAGCAAAGGGGTGGTAGGGGCGGCGGCGGTGGCGGTGGGGGGAGTTAACCTCTATGCTGAAAGAGAACGAAGACGAGGGGGGGCTCAACGAGCGCACGGCATTCACACTCGTGCTCTCCACTCCGCTCTAATCCCAAAGACTTCCTCCGACTTTGTTGACCCAATAATAACAGGGAGCGCCTGTTGTTGTTGAGCAACTTGTCAAAAGGTTATATGATACGCCGCCGGCTCCTTTTCACACCTGCCGC